ATTCAAAGTATTGAAAGGAAAAAACTGCCAGCCAAGAATACTATATCTGACAAAGCTTCCCTCAGAAAGCAGGAGTGATCAACTTTCTCAGAGGAGCAAGAACTGGGGGACTTCATTACCACAAGACCTGGCAGAGAAGAAAGCAATGCCAAAGGAAGAAACAAAGGGATGCTAATTAGTAAAATGAAAAAGTATAAAATCACCATGAAGGTAAGTATATAATCAAATTCAGAATAATACTTATATACTGTTATGATGGCATGTAAGTCACCTGTAAAAGAGGTATAATGGCTATAGGACAAAAGTATTTAAAATACCTACAAGGACTAATCTTTGTTAATAGATATTGTGATAGCTAATCTTCATTGTTGTCTGGATTTAGAATCATCTTTTTACAGCAGACGGGTTACTACAGAGATCCACAACTATTGAAACTGCAGAGAATAAGTGACCATGGGGAGCCTAGCCCCAATTAAGAAATCTACAACACAACCATTACACCTAAGTCTGGGAAGATTTGAAAGAGGAGGGTGGAAGGACTGTAAGAGCCAGAGGACCAGGACACCTGCTGTGAGATGGTGTCTTCTAGACACAACAGGGAAGTTGTACCCATGAAATCTCAACAAGACCTGCCTAAACAAGACCCAAATTATGACACCACCAATAATGACAAGCCAGTACAGATTGGGGGAATCTCACAAGGCCCTATGCCTAGATGAAGAGCTACAGGAAACTAATGGCTGTTGAGAGAAGAATTCATTTTCTCCAGGAACAAGCCCTCTGGTAAGTTATGCCATCACAAGTGATCACCCCTAACTAAAAACATGAACATATGAGCAATGACTTAGTAGGTAGGATATATATGCATACATATATTTGTATATATATATATATATATATAATTATGAAAGAAGAGGTCATGAATTTAAGGAGGAATGGGGGCATGGGAGAGGTTGGGGGGAAAGGGGAGGGGTGAAAATGATATAAATATAATACTCATGTATGAAAGTTTCAAAAACCTTCTTAATTATATGGTGCAGGCTTATTGACTATATAGAAAGACAATATCTCAAAACAAAAACAAGCCTGGTGTTGGTAGCACACACCTTTAATCCCAACACTTACGCTGAGGCAGGCGTATCTCTGTGAGTTCGAGGCCAGCTGGGTCTACACAGCAAGTTCCAGGGCAGCTACACAGTGTGACCATCTCAAAAACAAACAAATAAGGTGGGACATAGTGGCACATGGTGGTAATTCCAGTACTTTTGAGGGTAAGACAGGAAGAGAATGAGTTTGAGGTCAGCCTGGGTTACACAGAGACCTTGTTTAAAACAAAACAAAACAAGAAATAAGCAAATAAGCTGGTTTTAAATTGGGCAAAAAAGTAGGTATTTCTCACCTTTCACACAGATATCATCTCATCTGAGGTAGAATGAAAATCTTTAAAAAGGCAAAGTGAAACAAGTTCAGATGACGAAGTTGAGAAAAGGAAACTTAAGCACTATTGGTAGCAATTAGTACAGTCATTATGAAAAACAGAATGGAAGCTCCTCAAACAACAAGAAGCAGAATCATGGTGGGAAGTCAACAATGTCAATACTGAACATGTGTTCAAAGGAAATGAAACTGTTATGTCACAGATACACCCACACACACATATTTTGTAGTGCTATTCTCTGTAGCAAAAATATGTAATCAATCAAGATGCCTGCCAATGAAAAGAATGAAACTATGTCATTTGTGAAACACTAATGGAGCTAGAGTATATTATATTAGGCAAAATTAGTCAGGTAAACAAAGACAAATGTCACATGTTCTCATTCATTTGTGAAAAGAAACAAGTTGATCACATTGAATAGCAGTGGCCACAATAGGTTAGAAAGTGGAGGGGCAAGAGAAGCAGAAAAGTTGGACAACATACCAAAATATGTCTGGATAGGAGGAATTATTGCCCATGCTCTGTATAGCAGAGTAAGGATGACTAGTCTATGACAATTGCTTATGTGCCTCAAAAGAGGTAAAGAAGAGTGTGAAGGCTCCTAGCACGTTTTTTACTAATACCTTGATTTGATCATTACACGTCTCAAACTCCCATAAAGACAAATAGGTATCAGTTAAAGTAAGTTCATAAATTTAAAACTTTGCTTAAAAAGAGATTTGAAAAAAGTATAAAAGATATATAAATTGCCAAGTACATGAAAACATGTGCAACATCATTAGAAAACAAAAATTAAATCTCCATGGAGACACCATTGTATCCCTACCAGAAAACAGAAAATGCCAAGTACTGGTAAGGATGTTGGAATAAGTAGAACTTTCATATGTTGCTGGTGGGAGTGTAACATGGTTTTAGAAAACCATCTTCAATTTCTTTTAAAAGTAAATTCATACCTATGCTCTTGTTGAACATCTTCATCCCTATTTATTTACCGACAAGAAAGGGAAATATTTTCACCCCTACTTTAATTTACCAAAGATCTGTACACAAGTGTTCATATCAGCTTGTTCATGCATGACAACAAAAATTAAAACAACCCAGGTATCCATCAATAGCAGAATGAAAAACAAAGTTGTCAGAACAGTGGAATACTGCTCACCAGTAAGAATGAACTGCTACGTAAAACAACACACACACACACACACATACATACATATATATATA